GACCAGACTTTGAAGCAGTGACTGCATCTGTGCAATAAGTGTGGTCTTTCAGATGTCTACTTTGAACCTTCTCCATAGTCACCTGAGGTCTGGCATGCTTGTAGAACCCAGGCCCACCAGCCTGCAGATATGAATGGCTGACAGCTGGAAACTTAATGCAGAATTTCTCTGGCTCAACCTCACCACACTGGTTCTGTGGGAAATTTGTCTTCTTTCAAGTCCTCAAGTCCTTATAGCTACAGTCTCTGTGGGCTCTGAATATTAGTCCTCATGGCTACATTTCTGAAAATTTCCTTCATTTCTGTTCCAGATTGCTGTAGGAATAGCAAAGAGGAAGCTAGGATAAGCCAAGGGACCACCATGAATGCATATGGTTTTACCACTGTCTTCCAAGCTAAGGGGCTGAATCCAAGGCCACGAGAGCCGATATTTGTGTCAAAGGTGCTTATATTGTGGGTGTCAATGACTCCAGTGACTGACACTAGGGTCCCTGATATTGCCGCTGCCTGCCTTTGCTCCTGGTTGCTTATGCTAATCTACTGTCATCTGTACTTTGAAGCAATGTATTTTTCAGGGTATATTTCCCTTGGCACTTTTATCACAGGTTCCCCGACCTAAAATTTATCATGAGTTCTTTGTAGTTGGGCCTGTGGTAGGCCAAATAATGATCCCCAAAGATATCCATGCCCTAATCCCCAAGCCCTGTGAATGTTATCTTATATGGCAAAAGAGACTTTCCAGATATGATTAAGTTCAGGATTTTGTCACAGGGAAATTATCGTGAATTATTTGGGTGGGCCCCATGTGTAATCAGAGGTGGGGCAGTCCTTACCAGAGCTGGCCAGAGGGAAGTTTGACTACAGAAGAAAACGTGATGTGACAATGAAAGTGGAGATTGGGATAATGTGGCCATGAGCCAAGAGATGCTGGCACCAAAAGCTGGGACAGATAAAGATTCTGCCTGGAGCCTCCAAAAGGGACCTGCCCCACCTACACTTTGATTTTCGCTCTGTAAGACTCATTTTGAACTCTGGTCTTTAGAAATGTAAGAATACATATCTGATGTTTTAAGGCCCTAAATCTGTGGTAATTTGCTACAGTGGCAATAAGAAACTCATATGTGCCTAGAGATAATCCTATGTTCAGAATCTTCCATTCCTCCCAAGATCCTTGAATCAGCTATGTTTTCTTAGGATCCTCTTATTAAGATACATCTGACAGACATACCCCACCAGTCCTTTGAACATGACCAGATACATCTAAATCCAAACTTAGGTGATAGCAAGGAATCCTGATACAGTCATGTGTCACTTAACCACAGGGATATGTCCTAAGAAATGTGCCATTAGACAATTTCATCATTGTGTGGTCATCGTAGAGTGTACTTACACAAACCTAGACGGTATAGCCTACTACACACCTAGGCCTTATACAGCCTATTGCTCCTAGGCTGAAAACCTGTACAGCATGTTACTGTACCGAATAATGTAGGCAGCTGTAATATAATATTAAGTATTTGTGTATCTAAACATATCTAAACATAGAAAAGGTACAGTAAAAATACGGTACAAAGGACAAAGAGTGGTACACCTGCATAGGGCACTTACCATGAATGGAGTTCTCAGGACTGGAAGTTGCTCTCATGAGTCAGTGAGTGAGTGGTAAGTGTGAAGGCCTAGGACATTGGTGTGCACTTCTGCAGACTTTATAAACACTGCACACTTGGGCTACACTAAATTTATATGAGAAAAAAGTAGTTGCACAACGATGTCACTAGGCTATAGGAATTTTAAAGCTCCATTATAATCTCATAGGACCACCATCCCATGTGTGGTCTGTCATTGACAGAAACGTCATTATGTGACACATGACTGTACTTATTTCTTTATAAGTAAGTCACGTTACCTTTGTAAATGAGCCTGGAATGGTATCATTTGAAAGTTTTCTGTCACTAACTCTCTACCCCCTTCCCTCACTCTCAGGTTAAATTCTATTATTTGGAATAGAGAGCAAGATGGCTCTTCTAGCTTCTGAGTTCCTTCTAATTCAACATTGCTATGGTTCTATCTTGTAAAGAGAACTCAAAACAACGAATGTCAGTCTTCCTACGGGTGAACATCTGTACCATGTGGAACTGACTGGCCTTGTAGGAAGAGGCGCCTTGGTGCTATAGAGAAGGAACCCCAGCCAATCCAGCAGAAGGTGTCAAAAGACTTTAATAAATGTGTATCCACTTTCACCCAGAAATATAATCTTGGGAATGTATCATAATCAAGTTAACACACATGTGTGCGAAGATGTATCTGCAAAGATATTGATCACAATGTAATTTATAGTTGCAAAAGGGAAGAAAGAAAAGAAAAAGAGATAGACAAAATATAACAGGTGATCCATTCAATAAATCATTATACTTCTCTATGATTGAATGCTATGCAACCATTAAAATGATGTTATAAAAAATTAATGACATGGGAAATACATGAAATTACAAAGAGAAAGAATCAGGTTGTAAAACAATGTTTACGTTAAGTTTCCATGTATAATACACCAAGATAAAAGACTGGAAGGATAGACACTAAAATATTAAAAATGGTTATTCCTTGGCCATAAGATTAAGATTGATTTTTATTTTCCTACACATATCTGTATTTAAAATTTTTTTTACAATGAGTATACTATTTATGTGATCTAAGTGAAAAATGCTCAGTCAAAAAATAGAAATAGCCCTAGTCTCATCCTCAGAATCCTGAGTTCCATTCCTATTTCCTTCAAAAGCCAGTTGGGTGATTTTGGTAAGTCATTTTCTCTCTCTGGGACTCAATGTTCTTCTTATCATGAAAATGAGCAATAAGGCTGCGCACAGGTGTCCAGGAAGAAGTTGAGTGGGTAGATGCTGTGGACCCACCCCTGCTTTGATCAAATCAGCTGGGTTTTTATCAGTTCCATTATCAGGCTTTGACCTTGTGTTTTGTTTGAAAAAAAGAGGTTAAGATCATTTTTTTAAATGTTAAAAATCACTGATTTAGATAGTTGCCCAAATCCCTTTCAGCAATAACATTCTCTGATCTAGTCACCACAATTTTCATGCCCATTCTTCTAATTATGTCCCAAACCATTCAGATCATGTTCTGGTTGAATCGAAGGCTGCCACTAAGAAAAGGTGGGAGTCCCAGAAAATAAGACAGTTCATCAGTCAGGTTTTAACATTTGGATGCAGCACGTCAAGGTCATGTAGGGTCTGCGTTTGATCATCCATCCCACTAGACTGCCCTCAACTTGGTGCCCTGTATG